CGGCAGCACCTGTGGCTCAAAGGAGTAGGGCACCGGCCCGTGGTGGTGAGGGATGACCACCTGCAGTGCAGCCAAACCCCTAGTGAACTCTCATTATTTAACCTGCCTCTTTCCCTGGGGCCATTGGCTTTTGAATCCTTCACTATGAATAAGACAAGTTCATAAGTGTTGTCTCTCTCCTAATCAGCTTCACTTCCCCTCCCCATTAACTGGCAAATGATGGGCCAGAGGTAGCAAAGGGAGGCTCAGCTCTCAGGAGGTAGTTGCTGTGGTAGAGATTGGGCAGGTTTAGGAACCAAGGAGGCAGGATGCCAAAAGGCTCCTAGGCAGAAAGAACTAGAAAACAAACTTGTTCTTTTCCCCTTCCTCTCCCTCCTCCTCCAGCTTGCCTCAACAACTGCCAGACACAATAAGAAGAGACAGATAATTTATTCCATGTCACCCAAGCTATAAATAAGGAAAAGGAATGGTAAGCTGGCCCAAGATCCTCGTTTCTCATTCCTTGCAGTGACGAGGGCCAGCCTGTCCAGGGACTGAGGGGAAGGAGGAGAAGAGGGATTCAGATGAACCGACAGAACTTGTTTCCAAGAGTTCGGAAAAGGTTACGGAGGTGTACTCTTGTGCTCGGTACCCAGGGATTCCTCCTGATTGAGAGAGGAGTCTGTGAAAGGCTGCTTGCTTGGACATTCTTGGATTAAGTTGGAATTACTACCGCTGGATGTGGCATCCTCAGAGGGATGGCTCAGAATCATACTCCAGAAACTTTTGTGGTTGAAGTGGCAAAGGATCGCTGGGAAAGGAGAGAGGAGAGTTGAGAGTGAGAATGCAAGCGATGGGTAGGGTGAGGCCATAAGTAAGAAAATACCTAAACACCCCTCCCTGGGTATGGCAGCCCCTTCCCTCCACACTTACCCCATTCTGACCCTCCACCCTGTCCCCTCTTTCCCCCAGGGGCCTTCAGGTCACTCACCACAGGTGACATATAGGGCAAACACCAGCCAACCAATGAAATAGCTCCAGCCAATGGGGATTGATATGTTCCCCTCCAACTCGAAGATCCAGAGGTTAATGGGGAACAACAAGAGGGTGAAGAAAATGAAGGCGACTGGGAGACAAGAAGCGAAAAGGTCTTATTCTTATCTAAGAATCCCACAGGGGGCTCTTCCTCATCTGCTGGGCTACAGTCACAAACCACAGCTCCCATTACCACAGACAGCCCTAGAAGGTCACAGGGGTCAACCCCTCCACCTCCACCTCTCCAGTAACCAGGAAATGGTGTAACTCCACACTCTCAGTTCTGTTCTCCCACCCAACACCACCCCCAAGGAAGAGGGAGAAGTACCCAGGAAGATGAGGGCTGGGAGAACTGAGGACCTGTTCCAGAGCTAGAGAGCACCTTCACAGAAGCTCAAGATGGTCCCAATCAAGCCAAAGGAGGGCACTTTCTGAAGACCCGGCAGGTATGGCAGGTGCAACCAGATGGTGAGGACAAAGCCCAGCACCAGGGTCAAGTCGAAGCTTAACTTTGCCACTTTAAAGACAGGCCCATTTGTCCACAGCTTAAAACTTTCTGCAGAAAATGATAAAACAGGATGAACTGAGACTTTACAAAAGACAAAATATTTAATATGAGCAAGTACCAGAAAACATTCAGGCTTGTTAACAACGAAAGAAATGCACACTTGAGATAATAATGAAATATTGCTTTCAGTTGAAATAAGCAAAGATTCTTGATATGGAAGTTGTTGGATAATCTCAACCATAGGAAAACGAATACCTCTGTAGAAAAAATGGGCAGAGGACTTAAACTGGAATTTTCAAAAGAACAAATACAAATGTCCAATAAACATATGAAGCTCAGCGTAAGGAACTGCAAATTAAATGTGATTTTTTTTCAAAGTAAAATCAATGATACATAGTATAGGGGAGTAGAGAAAAAAGGTGCTCTTATACACTGCTGGCGGGCAGCATTTGTGGTGAGTGACCTGGCACAAAAAAATAAATAAAAAATTAAATTGTTACGGCCCTTTAGCACAGCAATGCTTCCTGGAATTTATGTTAAAGAAATAGGGCAGCACCTGTGGCTCAAAGGAGTAGGGCACCGGCCCCATATGCTGGAGGTGGCGGGTTCAAACCCAGCCCCGGCCAAAAACTGCAAAAAAAAAAAAAGAAAGAACGAATTAGAGATCTACACCAAAATCTAGGTACAGGGATCGTCTTTACAAAGATATTAATATGTTCAGTAAGCTCCTAGAATTGCAAGAGATTCGTAAAATACAGCATACTCATACATTTGGGTTATTTTATGTTCATTCATTAAAATGGTAATATGGGCTCGGCACCTGTAGCTCAAGTGGCTAGGGCACTAGCCACATACACTGGAGCTGGAGGGTTAGAATCCAGCCCAGGCCTGCAAAACAGCAATGACAACTACAACCAAAACATAGCTGGGCATTGTGGTAGCACTCTACTGAGGGTGACAGCTTGAGACTCTATCTCACAAAAATAATAATAATAGGGTGGCACCTGTGGCTCAGTGGGTAGGGCTCTGGCCTCATATACCAGGGGTGGCGGATTCAAACCCAGCCCCGGCCAAACTTCAACAAAGAAATAGCCGGGCGTTGTGGCGGGCGCCTGTAGTCCCAGCTACTCGGGAGGCTGAGGTAAGAGAATTGCCTAAGACCAGGAGTTGGAGGTTGCTGTGAGCAGTGTGATGCCACGGCACTCTACCCAGGGTGATAAAGTAAGACTTTATCTCAGGAAAAAAATAATAATAATAATAAATAAAATGGTAATATGGCTGGGCACAGAAGCTCACACCCATAATCCCAACACTTTGGAAGCTGAGGCAAGAGGATTGCTTTAGGCTAAGAATTTGAGACCAGCTCAGGCTACATAGTGAAAACCTGTCTGTTTTTGAAAAAAATGTTAATATAACAGGTTGGGCATGGTGACGCACCCCTATAATCCTAGCACTCTGGGAGGCCAATGTGGGAGTATCACTTGATAAGGGTGAGAAGTTCAAGACAAGCCTAAGCAACAGTGAGACCCCCATCTCTACTAAAAACAGAAGAATTGTCTGGGTGTAGGGACTCACGCCTGTAATCCTAGAACTCCAGGAGGCTGAGGTAGGAGGATCAATTGAGCTCAGGTGTTCAAGACCAGCCTGAGCAAAAAGCAAGACCCCTGTCTCTATAAAAATTAAAAAATCTTGTCTTGGTGCCTGTAGCACGGTGGTTATGGTGCCAGCCACATGCACCAAGGCAGGAGGGTTTGAACCCAGCAGTGGGCCAGCTAAACAATGACAACTGTAACAAAACAAAAAAAGCCAAGCATTGTGGCATGGGCCTGTAGTCCCAGCTACTAGAAAGGCTGAGGCAAGAGAATCACTTGGTTGTTGTGAGCTGTTATGCCAAGGCACTCTACTGAAGATGACATAGTGAGACTCTGTCTCAAAAAAAAAAAAAAAAAAAAATAGAAAAACTAGCCGGGCGCCATGGTGGGCACCTGCAGTCCCAGCTACTGGGGAGGCTGAAGCAAGAGGATCTCTTGAGCCCAGGGGTTTGAGTTTGCCGTGACTAGATTGATGCCACTGCACTCTAGTCCAGGTGACAAACTAGAGTGTCTGTCTCACAAAAAAAATAATGGTGACATAGCAGATACTTATCTTCGAATAGACTGCCTCTAGGAAGGAACATGAGTAATTGGGGAGGGAGACTGGAAGCCAGAAGTAAAAGGCTCACTTCACTAAACAATCTTTTGTATTCTTTGAATTTTCACTCTGTTTGTATGCTATTTAATCAAATCAGTAACAATTTTCTTTTGGCAGGCACAGTGGCTCACACCTGTAATTCTAACACTCTGGGACGCTGAGGCAGGTAGATTGCCTGAGCTCACAGGTTCGAGACCAGCCTGAGCAAGAGCAAGGCCCTGTCTCTAAAAATAGTTGGTATTGTGGCAGACACCTGTAGTTCCAGCTACTTGGGAGGCTGAGGCAAGAGAATCACTTGAGTCCAAGAGTTTGAGGTTGCTGTGAGCTATGATGGCACAGCACTCTACGGAGGGTGACAAAGTGAAACTCTGTCTCAGTCTACGGCCATACCACCCTGAACACGCCCAGTCTCATCTGATCTAGGACGCTAAGCAGGTTGGGCCTGCTTAGTACTTGGATGGGAGACTCTGTCTCAAAAACAAACAAACAAAAAAACCCCACTATTTTTGAGACAATGTTTCACTCTGTTGCCTAGGCTAGAGTGAAGTAGTACAATCATTACAACCTTAAACACCTGGGTTCAAGTGTTTCTCCTACCCCAGCCTCCTGAGTAGCTAGGACTATAGGTGCGCACTGCCATACCTGGCTAATTTTTTCATTTTTTGTAAAGATGGGGGTCTTGCTATTTTTGCCCAGGCTGGTCTCAAACTCCTGTCCTCAAAACATCCTCCCACCTCAGCCTCCCAAAGTTTTGGGATTATAGGGATGAGCCACTGTGATTGACCTCAATCAAATAAATTTTAAAAATTAATGATGTTCTAGAATATTCAATGACATGAGCAAATGCTTACAACTTAAAAGTGAGGTTTGCTAAACAGAATATGTAGAGTGACTGCAATTTTTTTTTTTTTTTT